AATGAAACAAGAAGAGGCGCCATGAAATCTGAGGAAACATCATGGCCCACGCCATGATATCCCCCTCCCTAGTCACCACCCCCTCTGTGCCGACCCCTCCCCCCTGCCGTCGCTCTCTCGGGCTGGGGCGTTTCTCGGGCGTGCTCGACGGCTCCAAGAGGCCTCGCTGCCCCAGGGTGCGATCAAAGTTCCAGGCGGTCGCGCGACGTTTTCTCGGACGCCCTCGTCGGTCCTCTAATAGGCGGGTCTCCAGCGCCCGGGGGGGGCTTCCTCACCGGAGACCCGAGCTCTGACCCGAAAGCCCCGGTCGAGACAGCGGCTGCCCTCCCTTGCGTTGCTCGTCTTCGGGAGGCCCGCTGGATGCTTCTCGTCGCCAGGGCTGGACCCGCCTCGAGAGACTGGTCCGGATGGACCCTAGGACTTCGGAGGGATCCTGGGACCAATGTTGAGCGGACGTGGGCCGGGCGAGAGAGCGGCCGGCGTCTCAACTGGCCCCTCCTCGCAGACTTGCGCTATGATTTCTGACACCGCGGGGATCGTGCAGCCTGGAAAGATCGTGGCTTCTCGACTGCACAGGCCGTTCGGTGTCGGCCGATCCTGGGGCCGCTGGAGGCGTACGACCTAGAACGTCCGCGATAGGGGTCGCCGCCGCGTCGACGCAGCAAGAACCTACCGTACATGCAGCCATGCTTGGGCAAGGCCATCCTGGGCCCTGGCATGGTTTGTGCGTCTTCATGGCCGAGGCCAGGAGGGTCGATGCACCATCCTGGGCCCCAGGACAGTCCTGACCAAGCATGGCGGTGGTGGTGTGTAGCTGCAGGTCCTCTGTATGTGCGCGACGCAACCAGGACAAGCCACGAACGCCGAAAACGACGTGTTGGACTCAATCAGCTGGTGTCCGGTTGCCTTGTTCACAAGCATGCTCGTCACTTCGGAGTCATTTCGCCACGCGATCGACTTCCCCGTCCTTTCCAGAAAGCGACGGTTGATTTCGTGGAAGACCGTGTCCATGTCTGCAGCCATGGTTTCAGTATGACCCACGAAATCGACATACGACGAGTCATCAGAAGCGACAAGATTACTGTACATGGCCTGACAGTGCTTGAGGGAACAGGTGCCACAGCTCGGAGACAGGCACGCCTCACACATGCGCCCCTTCATACAATACTTCACCATCGACAGGCGTCGGGAGTACGGGTTCCGAACAAATGCAAACACAAAATACTCCTCCCACTTCCGCTTGTCAGGCAACTTCTGCTGACAATTCGGATACAACATGCGTCCGCGCTCCATTCGTGCCGACTCCTGGCCGTGATCCAGCACCTTGGAGTCAGGGCAGGGTACCTCGGAGCCAAAAGGGCCTGTAAACGTGACTCCGCAGAACGCGCTCTTCAACATCTTGATAATTGTACTGCCACCAACCTTGGCATACTTGAGCCCGATGAACTGGTACTTGTCGGACACCCAGACGCACAATGGCCTGTCGGGGACGCACTGGGCCGGGTCAATGCAAACCCGGGACAATTAGGCTTTGCAAGATCCTGAAAGATCCTGGAGGACCCTGCGCGCTAGCCTGGGTGACAGCAACCCTGGTTCTGCAGGATCCTGCAAGATCAGGCGCTTTGGCTGGTCCCCGTTGATGAAAATTGACCCCCGTTTCGAAGAGGAAACCAAAATCTACCGATACCGCTGCTCCCTGGACCTCGCCTGGAGTTCGTTCTGGTCAGGACTTCGAGGCGAATCCAGCCGTGGCAACGAGGGCCTCCTGGGAGGCCCCCGAATGGGAAAAAGAAGGATGGGCAGCGGTGTCGGCACCTGTTCCTCCTCTGATCAAGGCCCCCGAGCCTGTATCCCGTTGAGCCGTCTGGCGCGCTGGACTTGTGCACCCACCCGTCGAGCACCGTCTTGTCCGCGCTCGGTCTGGGCCGCGCAGCGCCTCTAGCAGGAGGAATCCCGTCGCCCGCCCTCGCAGCTGCCTCCTGCCGCACGGCACCGGCTGCGCCGGGCCCCGCGTTGCCCGCAGAGCTCAGGCTGTGCGAGGCGGCTTGCGCGATTTCTGGCAAGGCTTCGGGCTGCGCGCAGACAGCCTCCGCAGGTGCAGTGAAGGAAGGCCAGATCAGGAACGAAGGAACTTCTCTGGCCATGGCGAGCCTCGGCTGCAAGTTCCCCGGCATAGATCTAAGGTGAACTCGGGGGACTTTGGACGACAAAAATAAAAATAGTCAAGAAATGCCCCAACATGGCAACACAAATAATCAAATCATAGTCCCCAGACTATTTCCCAACCCTCCTTGGTTGGGTATTCGTTTTGAATAGAGCAGTGTGGTCGCGTCCCTTCTCCCTTCTCCCGCCTCCCGCCTCCCGCCTCTTCTTGTCTTGCCTGCGGGGGGCTGCGATCTGTGAAACTGTCGCCACTCTCGAGGCCTGCTGGGGGGTCCTGCATAGAGGGTAACCGCGGCAGATTCAAATTAGACCTCGCCATCCCTGGGGGGCTGCGATCTGTGAAACTGTCGCCACTTTCGAGGCCTGCTGGGGGGTCCTGCATAGAGGGTAACCGCGGCAGATTCAAATTAGACCTCGCCATCCCTGGGGGGCTGCGATCTGTGAAACTGTCGCCACTTTCGAGGCCTGCTGGGGGGTCCTGCATAGAGGGTAACCGCGGCAGATTCAAATTAGACCTCGCCATCCCTGGGGGGCTGCGATCTGTGAAACTGTCGCCACTTTCGAGGCCTGCTGGGGGGTCCTGCATAGAGGGTAACCGCGGCAGATTCAAATTAGACCTCGCCATCCCTGGGGGGCTGCGATCTGCGAAACTGTCGCCATTTTCGAGGCCTGCTGGGGGGCCCAGCACAGTGAGGGCCACGCGCGGATTCAAATTAGACCTCGCCATCCCTGGGGGGCTGCGATCTGCGAAACTGTCGCCATTTTCGAGGCCTGCTGGGGGGCCCAGCACAGTGAGGGCCACGGGCGGATTCAAATTAGACCTCGCCATCCCTGGGGGGCTGCGATCTGCGAAACTGTCGCCATTTTCGAGGCCTGCTGGGGGGCCCAGCACAGTGAGGGCCACGCGCGGATTCAAATTAGACCTCGCCATCCCTGGGGGGCTGCGATCTGCGAAACTGTCGCCATTTTCGAGGCCTGCTGGGGGGCCCAGCACAGTGAGGGCCACGGCAGATTCAAATTAGACCTCGCCGTCCCTGGGGGGCTGCGATCTGCGAAACTGTCGCCATTTTCGAGGCCTGCTGGGGGGCCCAGCACAGTGAGGGCCACGCGCGGATTCAAATTAGACCTCGCCATCCCTGGGGGGCTGCGATCTGCGAAACTGTCGCCATTTTCGAGGCCTGCTGGGGGGCCCAGCACAGTGAGGGCCACGCGCGGATTCAAATTAGACCTCGCCATCCCTGGGGGGCTGCGATCTGCGAAACTGTCGCCATTTTCGAGGCCTGCTGGGGGGCCCAGCACAGTGAGGGCCACGGGCGGATTCAAATTAGACCTCGCCATCCCTGGGGGGCTGCGATCTGCGAAACTGTCGCCATTTTCGAGGCCTGCTGGGGGGCCCAGCACAGTGAGGGCCACGGGCAGATTCAAATGAGACCTCGCCATCCCTGCGGGGCTGCGATCTGCGAACCTGTCGCCACTTTCGAGGCCTGCTGTGATCCCCGTTTTCGAAGTGGCTAGGAGTGCTCAGGAATTGTAAATCATCAGCTTTATCAAGCCCTTTTCCTGTAGCCAGTGTCCTGCGAGTCTCCCGAATTCCGTCTGCAGACATATGTAACCCTCGCTCCGTCATCGCCCCCTTATAAAGTATCCTAAACTATTTGCGCCCCGCTTTTGCGCAGGGGTTGGGTACGTCGCCAAGGTAATGTTTAAACAACTATTTTTGAATATTCCTCCTGTAGAGGGACACGCCCGACTTGAATCTAAGGCACGGCCCGAAAACCCGGGCCCCTCCTGAGCCCAAATTGGTCCTCCTTTCCGCGGCTCGACTGTGGTCCCAGCTGGCCTCGACAGGCTCCCCGCGCAGCCCGGGGGCAGTCTGAACACCCCAGGTGTGATGAGCCTGTTTTCCACCACCACCACCACCAGAAGTTGGATGGGGGAGGGAGGAGGACGAGGAGGCCGAAGAGGAGGAGGAGGAGGAGGAAGAGTTGGAGGAGGAGGACTCCTTCCTCCTCCAACTTGTGGTGGTGGTGGAAGACAGGCCCATCAGAAGGTGCGGCGCCGGGGTGTCGAGAGCGCCCCGGACTGCTCGGGGGGGCTGTTGAGGCCAGCCGGGACCACTCGGGGCGGCTGCCTGCCCAGACCCCCTCGAGTCATGACAAAATCACAATGGAAGGTTTTCCGCCATCTTCGGCTTCCGGGGGCCCTCCCTGGCCCTCGGGACCGTCCACAACGCGACTCGGGACGAAACGCCGGTCCTGGCGAGTAGGTCCAGACCTCCGGGGGTCGCGTCATGAAGAGAAATCGTGGCGTCGGGGGTCTGAGTCTGGGTGTGCGCAGCCCGAGGCCCTGCCAGTGCTTTCCGCCTCCGCGTCCCTGCTCACGGCGATCCAGACCAGCATGGTGCAGAAGAAGCTGCAGGCGAAGATGCCGGCCATGCGGAGCGCGGCAGCTGGGCCGCGCCACGAGGTGCGCTCGGCCTTCCTCCGGGAGCGGGAGCATCCAGGGGAGCGAAGGGGAGGGGGGGGTCGAGGAGGAGAAGGAAGGATCGGGGAGGATCGACGGGGAGGATCGAAAGGGAGGATGAGGGAGGAAGAGGAGGATCAATGATCGAGGTGAGGGACGAGGGACAGTAGCACTCTTCCTCTGTCACCAACGTGATGGCTGCCAAAACTGATCAACCATCAACAAGATTATCCAGCCTGGACTTGTGGGAGCTAGGGATGCTTGCCCCTGGAAAAGAGGAAGAGCTAGGAGGAGGAGGAGGAGGAGGAGGAGCAGGAGGAGAAGGAGAAGGAGGAGCAGCAGGAGGAGGAGCAGGAGGAGGAGGAGGAGGAGGG